GTGGGACGGAATTTATCACGCTAATTCAGATAAACCTTCGCTATGGCATGCTGGATCATCTGAAACGCCAGAAGGACACATGCACTGCTTGTGGGGGCACTATGCTTTTGGAAATGGCAGCACTCTCAAGGCTTACTGGAAACGGTGTTTATGAAGAGAAGGTACTGCTTTTATGGTACACGTTGTTGCCTTAGCTACGCTCCAATTTCATTCACATGAAGTTTTAGATTTTTTTGCTTCAACAGTACCTAGTATGCTCTTAGGATATAAATATAGCTACTGAAGAGATAACGCACCAGAGCGGACACCATTTCTCATAATTTCTTTTTTTTTTTTGCTCTGAACACTTTTGCTTTCCAGACAGTTTCTATGAACCATAAATATTAACGACCACATCAAATATTACGGAATGAACCATGTCTACTATCGTTTTGAACAGCGGCTGCTGAAATTGGTGTAGATTCTTCTTTCAGTTGTTATGAATAGTTTTAGTTGCAAGGCTTCCGGGGTCAGTGTGCAGCAAATAGGCGTATTTTAAATTGAGGTGATCCATTCATAATTGAGCACCAGTTTGTTAATGCAAACAAACACATGAAGTTAGGGCTTGATCGCTCCTCCATAGGAACATCATCTCTATACCGTAACGTTATGTAGACTGGATTCCTTGTTTTTGTCTAGATTTTCTTACTTACTCTCACTTAGGCAAGAAAAGCTATGGACTTTCTATGGGCCCAACGTCATCGAACATCCGATTTGATGGGTACCGTTCTGAATGTGCATTCGGGTGACTGGGTTCGGAGAGGTACCATTTTCGCAATTTTGATTTTATTATTCATGTAGCTTTATTGCTAGTACACACTCATTTTTTGAACATAACCTTGATGTTTTTTTAAAATTTCCACAATGAAGTGCCCCACTACTGCTTATCTCAGGCTTATAAGACGGTGCTCACGGTTTATGCTCGATTTAATTATTTCATCGCATTTTTTCACAGTATCTTGCAGATAATTCTTGAATTAATCCTATTGTGATTTGCCTATTATTCAGTATGAAGATATGTGTATGCTTGCCTTGCTTTTGGCTTGACTTCTGACTGTAAAGTAAAAGTTCCCATAATCAAGAGACTATGCTGGGAAATTGCTCTTTTTCAATATGTTTCTATGAGAATGAAAGACCTTGGCTTGACACACATCTTGGGTTTAATCTGTTAATATATGGCCGTAAATTGATGGCACCTTTTGAGATCATACCTTAACTATTAAACGATTTTAAAAATTTGTAAAGAGCAGAGGAAAATCGAAATTGAAATGATTTTTCAACGAGCTCGAAGCAGTCACATGTCGATCGTTTGCGGATGTAACGGAATCTCGACTGCAGACTGTAGACTGACTGATTTACCCCCAGTAAGCGTCGTTAAGAACATCATACATGGCTGCTATCCAACATTCCCTGAATCAACGTAAAATCATGTTATCAGCATTAAACCGCGACTCACACCTTTTTCTTTGTTCTTAAGAATAAGTCAGCTCTATAGATGCATTAATCACTGCGCATCACAGTTTGCTCACAACCATTAAGGCCTTTGTCGTTCAGAGAGCGGAATTGGCGCCGGAATCGACTCCTACTATGAATACTGTCTCAAGGCTTATATTCTCCTCGGCGACAAAAGTTTTCTGGAAAGATTTGATCGGGTCAGTGTCGTGCAAGCATACCTTTTTGTTTCTAGAAGATGTTTTTTTTCAGCATTACGAAGCCGTTATGCGTTATGTTAATAAGGGACCCTTGTTTGTTGATGTTCATATGCATCGACCTACGGTGGCGACGCGTTCTTTCATGGACGCTCTATTGGCCTTTTGGCCCGGACTTCAGGTTTGCCATTTCTCGGTAAACAACATTTTTGCGAATAGTCATGTAGTTCAGGTTCTAAAAGGCGATGTGAGAAGAGCTGTTGAAATGCATGAAATGCTTTTCCAAGTAGTTCGGGTTGGTGCTCATTGTCCCATAACTTATCCTTTTGTATTTTTCTTTTGACTTAATGCAAACTGTTTAGAAGCATAAGTTTCTTCCGGAAGCCTTCACACATGATTTTCAAGTTCACTGGGGGGAGCATCCCATTCGTCCTGAGTTTATTGAGAGTACTTACTTCCTGTTTCGAGCCACCAAAGATCCTCATTATCTCGAAGTTGCTAAACAGGTTTGTGTCGAGCTTTTATGTATGAATTGTGGTAGAGTTAGTGTTAAGAACTCGATATTTCTTTTTTTGCGTCAGTAACCGAAATCAAATTGATCTAGCTCTTAACATTAAATACGCGTTGA